AGCCTGTGGATTTGTGTGTGTGTAGGGTGCACACACCTTCCATTTTTCAATTTAATATCTTTCATTTTTTTCTCTGTTGAAAGCTGCTTCTCCTGTCCAGACATGGCCTACCTTATGGAGGAAGGGTGGAAGAAATGGTTCTGTATTTGTCAATAAAAGGTGTGTGTTTGCGCATGTGTGAAATGATAAGCAAGGAAACAAAAAAGCCACACCTATGTGCTACAGGCAAGCCTGTGCATGCCATACCTCAACAGTTTAGCTGTCCTACTTCGCTTCTCTCAAACCGAAGGAGTACATTTGAATTGGAGACTACATATCAGAGCGGTGTAGCACATCGTGTTTGTATGGCTCATTCAACTCTGAGCTGAATCTTCAGTTTGGTGTCGTTATGGTGAGGTGAGTAGTCAACTTAGCTTAAACAAGTACTGTTTAGGAAATGCGGTTTATTGACAACACTACTGATATAGTTTGTCTGAGGAGAACAAAACAGTTTTCACAGGTCTTTATGCCAGTTAATATTGTAAGGACTGGACAACACAACTTACAGATACTGTTGAGCCTTAAAATGTTCAGAGCGTTTAGGTATTTGAGGTTTGTACATCTCATTTATAACAAATAACAAAATGTGTACTTGCTACTTTCTTCCACAATGGAAAAAAGCATTAGTTGCACCGCTCCTTTAGTTTTCTGTTGTTGCCTAGTTTCATTTTCACTTAGTTTTACATACCGAGTGCTAGAAATTGCTCTCTAGAGATCTGCCCCAAGACCTACTGGTAGCTCATATTTTCACAGCATTTGCATTAAAATTACTACATTTGTGCTACAATGCCATTCTTTTTTTTTTTAGATCAGAGGGTGGATAACTGCAGCATTTTTCTTTATAATGTGTTAAAATTCAAGAACAACACAAATCAGCAAATCCAAAAGAATGAAAGCTGAATACTAAAACTGAACATTATAACCTCCCTGAATGATTTATTCATGAAGAATTTTCAAGCACCGCTGTAACAGACAGCATTAGTTTTAACTAGGTGCAAACTACCTGTTAAACTGCTGAGTGACAGTGAGGTGACTACCCTGTGGTGGGACTGAATAAATTTTTCATCTCAAGGTTTCTACAAGCTTTGTAAATATATGCATAGTTAAGAAGAATGATACAGTTTTACATGTGTTTAAAGTAAATACAACCTACTATAAACAGTCATGAAAAAAAGTGCACCCCATGGTTCAGTAGCTTTTAGAAAAGACTTTAGCACGAATGACCCAAAGTAATCATTTTCTGTTTGACTCTGTCACATCACTATGAAGGAATCTTTTCCCACTAGTCTTCTAAAAGTAGAGAAGCTTCTAAAACGTTGCTTCAGTTGTGGGCATTCGTTTATGCACAGCTCTCTTAAGGCCCCAACACAGCAATCAGGTTTTCGTAATTTCATTTTTTTCTTTTTCAGCCATTCTGTTATAAATTTGCTGTTTCAGCCAAACTTTACCTGTCAGAAAAATAGCCTGTGTGTTGAGACACAACACAACGCTCTAGACTGTGTCATTATTTATTCTTGTTAAATAAATAACACATTATAATATGTTTCGTAGTTAACCTGAAGCTGTACTTACATAATTGTAAAAACTGCTAAAGACCAGAATTGGCCCATTTAAGCATTCGTGTGAAGAGTTAAAGAAGTTCTAAAGCTCAAAGATTTTTTTTCTTTCCGTAACCACAAACAATCACGTGAAAAGGAATGAGGTGAAATGCCTAATTTAAGGTCAATTCAGTGCTGGCTTCAGGCTGTTTGAATTTGAAAATTGACTTTCACCAGATCATATTTTTCAGATGTGCCAGCTTCATTAGTGCATGATGTGTTTCATTATTATTTATTCCAGGCCATTGGAGGCTTCATTAGCTGCAGGCTGATGCAGCACGCAGCCTCTAAATTTAGCAGGCTTTTATTTATTCAGAATAGCCGCGTGTTGGATGATATGCCCAGTTGTCATGTTCTCTCACAGCAGACATGTTGAAAAAAGAGGTGGGTTGGTCTGGGGAGAAATGGGCCTCATTCCACCTGTGCCACCCCCACCAGGCGTCTGTATCTGCTCAGCTCTTTGAAGCCTCTTTAATTCCAGCGTTAAGGATTAAGCCCATGAAAAAAAAGGATAAAAAGTGACAGAGTGACAGAAGGAGACATCTTAGGAGAGAACAGGCTCTTTTGAAATATGTTAAGAAATTCGTTTGCACTGACCCACAATGCAACATCTGAGGGAAATTTGTGTGACACATTTTTTTGTCTGATCAGGGACTGGCCATAGGATTTGCATGAATAGGAAAAGCACCCTTTGAAGTTGCAGTTGTAAGTGATTCTGGAGTTTTCTGAAACCTAAATGAGTGTCCAGAGATGATTGTCCTTGAATTTGTGGTCTGAGAAAGTTTTATTGGGAGTTAAAAGAAATCAAGTAATTTTTTTTTGTCACAGATACTACTGACATAATCCACTTTTTTTCTGTGTGGTATGTCATATCAGGGTAAATTGATAGTAAAGGGGATATTACAGTTTTTAGTGAAAGACACAGAGTCATCTATCTACACCATGTCTGTAGACAATCCATTAAAAAGTGGGAATTGTACATTGTGGCAGTATACAAACAGCTGTTTAATTTCATTCTGTAGGTGTGCAGATATGCAGTAGGTGTAATTGTATGTACAGGAGTGTGCTGACAGTGTTTTTGACAGGTATGTTCTTAAGCAGAAAAAATGCACATTAAAGGTCATGTAGCTTGTTAGACTACCTGAATCTGTCTAGTCAAAACATAATAATAGTCAGATGGCACCTTTATATGATAAAATTAGTGTACCAACTTACATACTACATACAATGTCACCCTAAATTTGCTCAGAGTACAGTTTTTGTTTACAGATCACAGAGCTGCTGATTTCATTCTATGGTGATTTTTTTCCTTTAATACCATTTTTTCCTTTTAGTTTTTCTCTGTGGACATTTTTGCAGTTTGCCACCTCACTTTGTCAGTGAAAGTTGTCTCTGTTTTGCTTTTGATGTCAACATTTTGAGGCTGTGAGGCTGTTTTGCAACTCGTGCAGTTTCTGTGAAGCTTCCCTGAAAACTCAAGCACAAGCGTTATTGTCCTGCCGCTTAAAGCTGACACGGGCTTGTAATTGCCGACGGATATGTCCTTTGAAATTGAAGTTGTGTTACTTTAGAGCTGAAATAATAGTTTACATAATATACCCTTTATTTTGTCCACTCTGTACTGTGCACGTAAACTCAAGATTTCTTTTCTGTTTTTTTGGTCTTTTCCTCTCAGTTAAATCTTGGCATAACACTTACCGCCCCTCCTTAATTAAAGCTGTAAAAAAAGCTGCTGCACACATTTCTGTCCTGAATAAGCAGAGAGAGGGATTTTATTGCACCATTCCCATTTTAATGGAAATATTTAAGACTATGAATTGAAAAGGGCACAATACATTTATGTAATGAAATGGGTTAAGGGGGGGTGGATAGTTTGAGGCAGTAAATGGGGGGGGGCTAGAAAAAAAAGAAATCCCCCCCCGGCAAATGTCCAATCAGTGGTCTTCCCACTTAGTCCAGTGAGCAAAGGCAGGTTGACATAATAAAACACAGTTTTGGCAAGTGACTTTGACAAATGTGTCTGTGAACTTGACTGGCAAGATGAAATGAGGAGGAGGATACTACTGAGTGTGTGCAAGACTGAAACCACATGCAAACATACACTAACATTTGCTGTGTGGGCAATGGCTGCTTCAAAGCCACCTGCAGTTCCATATTTACCACAGCCTGCGCAAACAGCAGTGAACGAAGGCTCCGCAGGCACCTGCTGTTAGCCGGTACATGAAGCTGTCTGTAGTTTACAAGGATGTTGTGTGATCATATTTCCTGAGACAAAACAGTGTACTTCCTAAACACATTGTGCGGCTGTTAGGGCGGAAAAAAAGCAAGTGTAAATGAAGTTGGATGTGATCCAAGCTTTTTAAAGAGTTGTTTATTGTGTTATGGGTTGAGATCTAGTTGTTATCCTTGTCTTTTTTACCCCTACACAAACCAGTTTTATTTTTTTCACCAGTGATGGCTTGAGATAAGTCAACTGAATTCAACCCCCTCCTCCCCGTAATATAACTGGATCACGGAGTTGAGTCAGACACAAACACCTACGCCATGCGCTGTCATCTCGAGGCAGTTTTTAAATGGTTTTAGCCCCATAACTTAAATCTGTGACTCTAAAGTGGGATATGCTTCATGTGTTGTACACCTTAAAATCCCAGTTCATTCAAATTACTTCCTGTTACTTTTGTATATACACTAGGCTATAACTTCAGGTGTATAGCCTAGTGCAACCCTATTAATGTCTCCATGTGCAGATTTTCTAAAAATGCACTATATTGCCAAAAGTATTCACTCACCCATCCAAATCATTGAATTCAGGTGTTCCAATCACTTCCAGTTGAATATAATCAAGAAGCTAGGCATGTAGACTGCTTCTACAAACATTTGTGAAAGAATTTGTCCCTCTCAGGAACTCAGGGAATTGCAGTGTGGTACCCTGATAGGACGTCACCTGTGCAGCAAGTCCAGTCGTGAAATTTTCTCGCTACTAAATATTCCGCAGTCGCAGTCAGTGGGTGTTTCCTATTCCAATGTGCCAGTGCACACTGTGTGCCAGTGCACAAAGCAAGGTTCATACAGACATGGATGAGCGAGTTTGATGTAGAAGAACTTGACTGGCCTGCACACAGTCCTGACCTCAAACTGACCCTCAGCCCCTCCCAGTGAAGCAGGCTTGTTGCTTAGAAGCAGTGTAAAGACAACTGATTTACCTTCAGTTTTATGTATGAGTATATGTGTATGTATGTGGGGTTATATTAACTACACACAAACCCTTTGTTGATGTGTCATGTTGCTGATAGTTAATGTGCATTTAAAGTTCCATTTAACTTCATTAATAATAAAACACTTCTTCCTTTCTGTTCCTTCCAGAGATGGCAAGCTGGGTCTCCATCCTCCTCTTCCTCTTCTGGCTGTCAGTCTCTCAAGCCCAAGGGGGGAGTGGAAAAATCCCCACTGTGGAATTCATCTCTGAAAGCCTGATTAACAATGTGGTCCAGGACCCACAGACTGGTCGCATCTACCTGGGAGCAGTCAACAATATCTTCCAGCTGAGCCCGTCCCTCCAGAAGGAGGCCCGCACTGAGACGGGCCCAAAAAAAGATGCCAAAACATGTACACCTCCTGCTTCAGGCTGTCAGGACACAGTGCTCATGCCCAACAGCAACAAGCTTCTGCTGGTCCACCCATCCAATGGTTCACTAATAGTATGTGGCAGTCGGTACAGAGGCATATGTTCCCTCCTCAACCTGTCTAATGTAGAACAAGAGTTGTATTACAATGACAACAAAGGAGAGAGGACTTACGTGGCTAGCATAGAGGATAATGTGAACGTGGTGAGCGTCATGTCCAACTACACAAAAAATGGCCGGACCTTCAAAGTGTTCCTTGTTGGAAAGGGCTATGGAAGCCTGGACAGTACAAAACTAATCAGCACACGAATCCTTGAGGACTACCAGGACTGGGTTGTGTTTGAGAACATCATTGAGGCATCAGCGGTACAGACGGCGCCATTTGTCCTCAAGTACTTACACGACTTCCAACATGCCTTCAAAGAGGATGGTTTTGTGTATTTCCTCTTTTCTCGGACTCTCGATGGCACAGATAACAAAAACTTGACTTTTGTGTCTCGTCTTTGTGAAAATGACCAACATTACTATTCGTACACAGAGCTCCAGTTAACCTGCGGTATAAAGAACCGGTACAACAAAGTCCAAGCTGCATATGTGGCTTTTCCAGGAAAAGAGCTGGCACGGGTCATGTCTCAATCTGGTAATTATGGGACGGTCACCTCATTCACAAAAGTCCTCTTCATGGTGGCTCATCCAGATGACGACGAAAGCGACTCTGCTCTCTGCATGTACCCGCTGAACTCCATCAATCAGCAGCTGATGGATATAATCAGTGCATGCTACAGTGACTCTGGGGAGATTTCTGGGGTTCCTGCTGTGGACGTACCCTACTCATCTCAAGCCTACACAGCATGCACTTCAAAAATTTCTGTAAGTGCTTCTTTGTCAGCTGACTCTAATTTAAAAGAATGTTTTGAAAAACTCAGATTGGTATAATTATAATCTTTAATGCAGTTATCACTTTTTATTATAAAATCTCAACATTTAATTCGTTCCCTGGATAACTTGTAATCTGACCAAGTCTTAAAAAACAAGGCTCATACACTTCCTTTACAATGCAACAGTGTCCAATGAGAATTTGTGAAAGACACAATTCTTGTAGTCTCTGTACACCACCACAGTGGATTTTAAATCACACAATCAAGATGTGGCTAAAGTGCAGACTTTCTACTTTAATTAGGGGGCTTCAGTATTTTTTGGGGTTTTTTGTTTAGCATTTGTCTGAGTCTAAGCAGAGAGTATAGCCCTGTACACTTCACATTTCATCCTTCTGTTTCTGTTTCGATCAGCAGTCACAGTAATCAGACAGTAGTGACCCAGTTTCAGTGGCAGCTATATATGCCCAATCTGATCATGAGCTGCTTCTCACCCCTCCATATTTTTCTCTACCCATCATTCTGGTTCAGGCTGTTAATCTTGGTCTAAGAAGGTTGGAAAGAAAAGCGTCTGGACTTTAAGTTGCTTGAAGACGTTTCACCTCTCATCCGAGAAGCTCCTTCAGTTCTAGGGTCAAATGGTGGAAAGTTCCAGATTTAAGCCCTGTGGGAGGATTCCCCCAAAAGGGACAATATATTATTTTCCTAATCACACAAGCCAAGGTGTAAAAAAAGGGGTGTAGGTCCCAATCAGCCAAGGTTTCGGATAAGCTCATTGTGAAACCTAGCCCCACCCTATCATGTGATTTCTTGAGGTCAAATGGCCCAGGATGCAAGTGGCCGTGAAGGGATCTCAAAACTTGATTATAGATAGCAGACAGTTGGTGTCGTAA